GCACAGCTCTTCTCCCGCGAGAGGAGCCCTGGCTGTGCGGCGCTGGTGTCGGGAAGTGTGCCCAGCAGCTTCTCCCGGCCGTGCTGTCTCCCCAGGTTCGGCCCGCGCCAGATCCGGGCCGAGTCGGCGATGGTGAGGAGGTACAACGCCAGCACCGGGGCAGCACCGTTTGACTCCCTGCGGGTGGCTGACATCGGGGACGTGAACGTGAACCTCTACAACCTGCCCGACAGCTGCCGCCTCATCCGAGAGTCCTACCAGGAGATAGTGGCCTCTGGCTGCGTGCCCCTCACCTTGGGTAAGGACCCCGCGTCTCCCTGCCAGCCCACCATGTCCCGGCTCATCCAGACTCCCTCTCCTCCTCCCCTCGTTCAGTCTGAACATGGTAGGAGGTGAGCGATGAATCTGTCCCCTGCACGGGGTGTTGTATGATTTAACTCATGGGCTAAATGGGTAAATCACGGGCTAAGTGGGTAAATCAGGGGCAAATTTACATGCTCTCTGCCAAAATTCCTGCATCGGTGTTGCCTCTTGTGTCAAAAATGGGGAGAATGGGTCGGCTGAGGGACTGTTTCAGTGCACAGCCTGAAGCTCGACCGCGAATCCAACCGGCAGCGTGCTTTTGGCGTCCTGTTGAGCAGGACCCAAAGCAAGAGCAGTTCGTGTCCCTCTGGAAAGCTCCAAGCTGGAGCGAGCGCCCGGCAGCGTGCTGCTTTGCACGAGGCGTGATTTGGGTGCGTAGTCAAGTTTCCGGCTGTCACGGCTTGGCATCGCTAAGTGAAGCGCGTGTATAGAGTGACGAGGGGCAAATTAGCAGTTACTGTCCTCAGAAGTGAATCAAGCACCTGCTTACAAGCCCGGTCAAGGGTCCTGCTCCACGGGCCACCCCTGCCAGCAGTCCTGCATCTCTGGTCCTCCCAAGGAGGGAAGAGGAGAGAGGAAGCAGCCTGCACACGGGAGCCTCAGGTCTTCCCTGGGGGATGAAACCCTGGGATGTGTAAACAAGTGCAGGATAAATGCAAGGAGGGGAAAAAAATCACCTGGGAATAAACGGGCTGAGTGCCGTGTGCCTCTTGCAGTGTGTTCCACCCTCTTCCCTGTCCTGTTGCAGGTGGAGATCACACTATCACCTACCCCATCCTGCAGGCCGTGGCAGAAAAGTAAGTTTCTGACCTGGAGGTGTAGAATAAGGAGCCTTGGGAAGGCTCCTGGTTTGGTGTCCACGTTGTAGGCAAGGCCATTGCGCACAGGGTGGGGGCTGACGTGGCTGCCCCGTCTCACCTAGGCACGGTCCCGTGGGACTGGTGCACGTGGACGCTCACACCGACACCGGAGACAGAGCCCTGGGGGAGAAGATCTACCACGGGACCCCGTTCCGGCGCTGCGTGGAGGAGGGGCTGCTGGACTGCAGCCGCGTGGTCCAGATCGGTGTCCGAGGCTCCTCCTATGAGCCCGACCCTTACAAGTACTGCCGGGACCAGGTAAGCGCGGCCGCAGGCATGTGCCGAGCGCTGCTTGCTTTCCCTGCCGTTAACTAATGCCAAGTCATTAATATTCCCGTAGCCTCAGCAG